AACAGCTAGGGAGAGGGAGGTGTTCCTATGTAATAAGTGTATGTCCCCATTTACACGTGCTGTGCATGTGAACGTGCGCTAAATGGTGTGCATTGGCATACATTTGCACAATACAGTAAAAATGCCTGGCGCAATTGCACTGCCATTGCCTGTTAACGGCACCCCAACACAGCTGGTAAAATGTGCGTCTTTGCCCACGCGTGAAACTTTCAGCACAGATTGCTGCATGAGCTTCTTTGCCATATGTGGGCCAGCCCATTGAAATGGTGGGCTGACGTGCAGCAAAACGCACTCAAGTGTGAATGTTGGCTTAAAGCTGAAGTAAACCCAGCCACATAATTGCACTATGACTTATTACTCAGCATGTTTTATTATGAAACCTTATCTATAATTCTAATTTTCCATGATGGGACCATGTAATCTAGGGCGGTTTGGGGGCATATTGTGCTTTACTGGGGTGCGCCTAAGTTTGCTCTAGCTCCCGGGGGGGTTTTTTTACATGGAAGGGGGGAATATCTCTACCTTCCTGTCATCTGTTTTTGGTTTTTATACTATGTGATGTTTTTTTGTTTTTGTTTTACAATTTCTTTTTTTTTTAGCAGACTCTATGAGGCCCGAACATCATTCCTCTGCCCCCTTGGACGTGGGGAAGAGGAAGACGGTGTAGCCTGATCTATAGCTGGCCCTTGGACTTCCTATGGCATCAAAGGTAGCGGGTAAACCTTTGCTTTTCGCTTCCCATAACGCACAGGGTTTAAATTCCCCAATTAAGAGAAATAAGGCCTTTCAAAATTACCATTCACACCACATTGATGTATTATTCCTACAGGAGACTCACTTCCCAATTGTATATACACCCTCCTTCTTACATAAACATTATCCAAATTTGTATTTGGCGAATGCAGTGGATAAAACCAAGGGGGTGGCGATATGTTTTTCGAGAAGTGTCTCTTTTGTACCATCATTGGAGGTTAGGGACCCTGAAGGTCGGTACATTCTACTTAAAGGGCATCTGGGGAACATATAGTAACCCTTATATCTTATTACGCCCCGAATACTGCTCAGGCAGTCTTTTTTTCATCTGTGATAATTGCCCTATCTACGCATATGGAAGGTACAATTGTTTGCGCAGGAGACTCTAAAGGTGCCCATACACTGTACGATTCTCGTACGAGAATCGCGGGAAATCCCGCGATCGTATGAGAATCGTACAGTGTATGGAAGGCGTGCGACCGTTTCTACTGTACGGTCGCACGTCTTCCATCGAACAAACAGGCTGGAAAACCCGCCGGGAATCGTACGATTCTCGGCGAGTGAGTGGCCTGCTGGTTCGACAACTGACGAACGGGCCGGTGTGCGCACGCGCACACTGCCCGTTTGCCGTCCTTGCAAGCCCGCCCCTCATTGCAGTGATCGCAAGTACGATCTGCCTGTCCAAGATGGGCAGATCGTACGTTTTTTTAAGTACTTTACAACCATCGCAAGACTAATGTCTTGCGATGGTTGTAAAGTGTATGGCCACCTTGACATTGCATTAGATTCTGGATTAGATAGGACGGGTATAGGGACGACTAAGTGTAAACCTCCAACTAAAGCAGGGTTGGTCTTGGCTAGAGTAATGAGCTCATTATCCTTGATTGATATTTGGAGAGAACAGAATCCCACAATGAGAGATTATACCAATGACTCTCATCCCCATAGGTTTTATGGGAGAATAGACCACATTTTTGTTTCCTCCTCGTTGGCCCCTGTAGTGATTTCTTACCAGATTAAAGACATTGTATGGTCTGATCACTCCATGGTCACGATGTCCCTATCTCAATTTAAAGATCTGGATAGGCCATTTCAATGGAGACTAAATGAATCTCTAATGAGCTCACCTAAGCTGAGCAATGAAATAGTATCATGTTTGTCTTTTTACTTCTCTCTGAATGTCGACCCGAGTATATCCCCAGTTATGGTCTGGGCTACTCATAAGGCGTTCATTCGTGGTACATTTATTCAACAGTCTACCAGACTTAAAAAACAAACTCTTAAGAATATAACAGACCTGGAGGACAGGCTAAAAGTTATGATCCAACAACATAAAAAATTTCCTTGCCCTTCCCTTTTGCAAAAAATTGAAAGTTTACGAGTCGATTTGAATCTGCTCTTAACCACCAGAGCTGAAAAGAATCTCCGGAGGGTTGCTAATAAATTTTATACTCTACTATAAGGATCGAATAGGTTCACTTTTGGCATCTAAATTGACCCAGAAAATTCGCAACTTTACAATCCCTAAAATCAGATGTAGAAATGGCACCTATACCCAGAACCCGAAAAAAGTTCTGGAGGAGTTCCATACACTTTACTCCACATTATACGAATCTCATGCCCCGACTGTGAGAGGAGGGAGGCCTAAAGTTTTCAGGGACCTTCCACTGCCATCCTTAAGGCCGGAACATAAGCAAATCTTAGAAGACCCTACTTCTTTGACAGAAATCAAGTCGGTTATTAAAACAGCAAAGGCGGCTTCAGCTCCGGGCCCAGATGGCTTACCTGTCTCATACTATAAAAAATATGTGGAGGTCTTGGCCCCCCACTTGGAAGCTTTCTATAATTCCTTGCACTCAGTTGACTTCCTTGACCCGGATCTGAACAGAGCTTTCATTAGTGTCATCCCTAAGCCTAACAAAGACCCAGGGGAAGTCTCCAACTATAGACCAATCTCACTGATTAATAACGATATAAAATTTGTATCTAAAATGTATGCAAACCGACTGAATACGTTTTTAGGCAATTATATACATCAGGACCAAGTTGGCTTTATTAAAGGAAGGCAGGGCCCGGATCAGGTCAGGAGAGCTATTGATCTCATTTCACCGCTTAACTCTTCTTGGGATGGCAGTCCCCCTCAAAAAGGGATGCTATTATCAATAGATCTACAAAAAGCATTTGATTCGGTCTCCTGGGATTACCTATTGTCATTGCTTAAGATTTGGGGATTTGGCCCCCACTTCTTACGCATACTTCAGGTGTTTTATTCCTCTCCCTCAGCGCAGATCCGCTTACAGGGCTACACATCAGATCCTATCTTTATACATAGAGGAACTAGACAGGGGTGTCCCCTTTCACCCCTGCTTTTCCCCATGGCGATTGAACCATTAGCTATAAAGCTCCGTTGCAGTTTGGATATAAAAGGGATACAATGTCAGTCATTGGATCATAAATGTGCCCTGTTCGCGGATGATCTGCTGCTTTTCGTGACCTTCCCATTAGTCTCTCTGCCTAACATTATGGCCCTCTTGGAGGGATTCGCACAGTCATCAGGACTGCGAGTCAATGCTTCTAAGTCTGTTGCACTTAATATTAATCTCTCTCCTGAGCAGTGGTCGGGGCTTAGATTTTCCTTTCCCTTCGAGTGGCGAACGGACTTTATTCAATATTTGGGGGTTAAAATTACATCTTCTTACTCCCGATTACACTATGTAAATTACCCTCAGTTATATAAACACCTAAGGGAAGATATGATCAGATGGTCCTCCTATAATCTTTCCTGGATGGGTCGATTGCATTCAGTTAAAATGCCTTTATTCCCCAAAATTCTGTATTATTTTAGGACCTTGCCAATTCCTATCCAACGGGTTGAACTTCTTAAATTCCAATCATCCATTTTCAAATTTATTTGGGGTGATAAACACTCTAGAATTTCTCGGGCGACTCTTCTCAAATCTAGACAACAAGGGGGTCTTGGGGTCCCTAACCTCCTTTATTATTATAGGGCATCACAGCTGGTACAACTCTCTGCCGCCTACCGTTCGGTAGCCACTCCTGACTTGGCCAGAATACAGTCAAGCTCTTTCAAGGGCTCTTCTATTGAGCCCTTGATAAGGATGAGAGCAAGACAAAGACCCTCAATTATGGCCCCTACTTTGTCACACTCCATGGCCCTGTGGCAATGTAAATTTTCCACCGGTCCTACAGACCAAAGCCTTCCAATGGTGGCTTGACAAAGGCCTATACAGAATTGGAGATTTCATTAAGCTTTGTAAACCACTTACCCTCTCTTACTGTCAAAATATCCTTCAGCTGCCTAATTTGGAATTGTTTAGATTTAGACAAATACAGCATTTGTTATATATGTTGCAGCTGCCTGAGGTTGGACTCTCTCCGCTTACATCCTATGAAAAATGGAGTTTGGGAGAGTTGGGTCAAGGGGAG